CAGTCCCACAATCCATTTATAAAATAATCACTCAGACGCTTGTATCACTTATAAACTGTATGGCCGTGGCAGGCTTCTTGCTAACTGTTCTTTTATCTTAAATTAACCCATTTTTATAAATCTATACCCTGCCACGTGGTTGGTGGCTTACCGGCATCTTTACATATTCTTCTCCTGGCGGTCGCTGCAGTGTCTCTCCCCCCTTCTTCCTGTTTCCCCAATTCTCCTCTCTCTTTGTCCCGCCTATACTTCCTGCCTGGTCACTGGCCATCAGTGTTTTATTTACATAGAGTAATATCCACAGCACTCATTCACTGTGGTCCTTACAGAACACAGGGGCCCCTCTCTCCTCATGCCTCAGGCTGGAAGCATTGAAGTTCAGACAGAACTTCCTCCTGGTCTCTTGGTTTAAGCTTTCTCTCACTTTCAGTGGTTGACTTTTATGAGACACTTCCCAACCATTCTGCTATTGTGTTGAACACTTTTCCTGGACAAAGCCATATACTGGGAATGGCATGTGCTAATGATGTTTACTGCTTAATCAAAACAACTTACATGGTGGGGGTAGGAGGCAGCATTTGCTCCAAGGATAATAAGCTAGAGTTCAAACCCTCTGCAAATAATACCAATAGTTAAAAAATAAGTTAAAACAGCAACAACAATAAAACTGGAAAGCACACTGATTTTGCATCCCAAATCTTCTGTCCCTTTTGGTGGAAGTATGTCGGAAATTGGTTACTGAGATACAATCATCCCACATCTGTGCTGGAAGGGACTTTGGCCTGGGAAGCCTTCGAAGATTGAATGAACTTTTGTGTCAGGTGCAATCAAAATAGCTGATAGTTTAAATAAAACTTTGACTGTGTCTGAGTCCTGGGAGAAGCTAGAGGCTTGTAGAGTCTTTTTTTTCTTTAAGGCTAGATGTGTCTGTGTCTTCATCTGTGAGAAATGATGTTGAAATCACTTGGACACTTCACTGCCAGCTTCTGAGGTAGGACAGGGTGAGTGACTGAAGGGCACATCTGGAGTTGGACTTGCTGACTGCATGCAAAGTTCACCTGTTTAATTGCCTGCTCTTGGGCAAATCTCTTAAAGTTCATTGAAAAATGGAGAATAACAGTGTTTATCATCCAAGGTATAATGTAAGAATAAAACAGTGCCTGAGAAATACCTCCAACAATGTCTGCGGTGGGGTAAACACTGTGTAAAGTTCTCAGATTATAACTGTGTTCTGTGTTCTGGGATAATAGAGGGAAAAGATACAGGTTGCCAGAGTGAGAGGAAGGAAACTGGGAGAGGAGGACTCCCTGGAGGGTCTGGAAGCCAGCATGGAGCAAACGTTACTGGTATTCTCTGTCTCAGCATCAGACTAACCAACTTTAGGAATGAGCTTGACCAGGG